TAATTTAGTAGTGTAAGACTAGAGGAAAGGCAGCTAGTCATCACCACCCACCGCCAACTCTTGGGCTACTCTTTCACCAACGAATAGTGGGATTGATCGTCACATTATAACGCCCCCACGACTGAAAGGGCGAGCATGTTTGGTGGGACCCTCAGATTGCGAGTCGAGTGCCCTAACCACCTGGCCATGCCGGGCGACCGGAAGTTAATATTAACGTAAACAAATTTTAACCTGTTTGATCCTTTACATATATGAAACGCTAAACAAATATTAACCTGGCGTATTCTCTTCAGACAACCATTAGGCTAGTCTAGGTTTCTTATAATTGACCCTAGAATAAACATTTTACACACCTTTAGACTGCGTTGACCTGCTTTAATGTACATGTAAGTAGCCGTATTTGACATCTAGCTAAAAGAATGGACAACTTACGTGCATGATTCAGACAGAAAATACCAAATCGCGTGATCAATTAGGCTTATGAAAGAAAAATATATAATATAAATCACGGGAATAACCTTTATCTTCCGACAACGCTATGTTTCTGCAGATAGAGCAGCACACGCATCACAGATGTGATTCATCAAGCTTATTACTCTCGATATTTAGAACGAGCCACTTGCAACATGGGGTTAAAGTTGCTTAAGAATGTTTAAATTATTAATTTCCGGAAATGATGTTTCGGATGTGCATCGTCAATAACTTGATTAATGATAGTTAAAAGTCTAAATACCAAGCCATTGATAACCATAGTACATGAAGTACTGCTGAAGATTGTTAACTGACCCCAGGAAACTGATATGGTGGGTATGTTTCATTAGCAGTTTGATTCGACTTTGTATATATTACCGTCTAATTTGTATATCTTTCTCAGTCTAAATAACAAGACATTGTGGTATCAAGTCTGCTGATATCCAACAAATAAGCCTAAACTATCCGCAAGAACGCAGATTACGAGAATTTAAGACAGAGAAGAATTTTATCATTTCGAGCTCAAATAGCAATGGAAAGAATCAAACACAAGTGAACAGCAAAAACAAAATATTTTTTCACTAACATTATACTCGTGATTATTTACCAGGTTTACCGTCTTCTTATATGTTTGAATTCAAACTGGTCGCTGAAGTGGAGAGGCATTATACACATCTGCACACAGAACAGAGTTAGTAATAATTACATTATACCGCATTTTCAAAACTGACAATGGGTCTAAATATATTATACAAAAATCCCAAAATGCAACGTCACCAACAATTCCAGATAACACACACACACACAGCCTAAATATCAAACCATTCGTTATTACAGTACGTGAAGTACTGCTGAAATTTGTTAACTGATTCCAGGAAACTGACGTGGTGGATGTGTTTCGTTAGTATATATATAATACCAAGCCTTTAACAACCATAGTACGTGAAGTATTGCTTGAGATTGTTAGTTGATACCAGGATACTAATGTAATTGGTGTGCGTGATTATCAGTTTTATATCCATCAGATAAGTCTATACTTATTCTTATGCTTACTTAACAGGATTGCTGGCTTCTTATATGCTTGAATCCAAACTGATTGCTGGGGTTGGAGAGGCTTTCTACACGGCCGCACAGAACAGAGAGAGTAATTATTACATACTGTATCTCCAAAACAGACAATGGGTCCAAATATTGACTTCCAATCAGAGCAAACATTAATTCGGGGCGTTTTTTTTAATCCTATAAATCATTGAGAGTTGGAACAACTACGACACACGATTTACAATTGTAGGTCTCGAATTAACGCATTTCTTGAAAATCTTATATAACTAATCTCAGGAAACGAGTTGATCTGCACTGAACGAACTTATACTCAACAATTCGTCTTCTAACGTGCTAAAGAAAGGAAACAGATACAGATACAAAGCGATACAAGTATCTAAACGCTGTCGTATATAAACTTTACCGAAGCAAAAGGATTAGCACGTGTTTACGATCTTTCAACATCCTGTTAACGAGAATATCATAGCTACATGCAAAATACTTTCACGAAAACTACCTGAAAATACCTAAACAACGATATATATTCTATGCTAGTCATGAGAGAGAGAGAGAGAGAAATTAGTAGACGTTCCAGTTACGACACTACTTATAATTGTATGTATTGATTAACACATTTATTGAAAATCTTACATAACTAATCCCAGGAAACGGAAGGATCTACATCGTTAATACCTTGGTTGAAAGTTTTATATGGTTGTCAACCTACGTTTTGAAATGGAGGAAAAAGATATTAAAAAATGTTAACTTTAGAATATATGGCCAAATGCTATGTATACAGGCCATAACTACCCATATTCAGCCCTTTAAAAAGAAGTCATATTCAATCACAGTGTGATTTATTAAACGTATATTTGAACCAAAATTTCAAAAGTCCCAGCACTATAATATTCTACCATAAACAAACGGGTCTATCGTAATTTTCATTCATAAAACTTTTACGTGGTTTTTTATACACCACTTTTGATAGAAGTACCTAGATTTATACTCAACAAATCGTCTGTTAACGCTTTAGAGAAAACTTAAGCCCGTATGGGAGCTAATGATTGTAAGTCATTTTCCAAGAACTGTGAATCCTGAAAGACGTAGATGTAAAAATATATTAGTTTCCTTGCTAATGTACACGTACAGATATGTTTCCAAGTTCCTTATACAACTCACGTGTAACAGTTTCGCAGTCTATTGGTGTTACTGTTATTATGGTGCACAAACGATAAAGTTTTAATAGTGCTTAAACTCATCTATACACGAGTTACTATTTTCATGATATTGAAACATTTTTAACACTTCTATGTCGGGAACCAGGCAAAAGCATTTAGATAAAGGTTACAGTTTTATGGAGTATAAAATTTCTATACATACATAGCTGTTTCAAAGATGCATAAACACCTACTAACATAGAATCCCAATATAAACATCCATACATAGATTACTGTTTCTATGTAGAACTCAAACATACATATCCTTACATAGGTTGCTGTTTCAAAGATGTATAAACACCTACTAACATAGAATCCCAATATAAACATCCATACATAGGTTACTGTATCTATGTAGAACTCAAACATACATATCCTTACATAGGTTGCTGTTTCAAATATGCATAAACACCTACTAACATAGAATCCCAATATAAACATCCATACATAGGTTACTGTATCTATGTAGAACTCAAACATACATATCCTTACATAGGTTGCTGTTTCTATGCAGAACCCCTACATAAACATCTATGCATAGGTTACTGTTTCTATGTAGAACCCCTGCATAAACATCTATACATAGGTTGCTGTTTCTATGTAGAACCCCTGCATAAACATCTATACATAGATTGCTGTTTCTATGTAGAGCCCCTACATAAACATCCATACATAGGTTACTGTTTATATGCAGAACTCAAAGTTAAACATCTATACATAGGTTACTGTTTCTATGTAGAACTCCTACATAAACATCTATACACAGGTTACTGTTTATATGCAGAACTCCTACATAAACATCTATACACAGGTTACTGTTTATATGCAGAACTCAAAGTTAAACAACTAAATGTATTGTGGCAATTCAACTCTTACCTTCCTTTCCTGATTTCCACCTCTTTTATTACAAGCTCACAAATTATCATTTACTGCCATAAAATAAAAACAGAACTACATACAATAAATGATTTTAATACTTTGATAAACACTACAC